CCTTGGGGGGCCGCATCCGGCCCCCGAGCCTTAGGTTGCCTACCCCTGCTATAACCATTTACATGGAAGTAAGAGCCAATTTACCTGTTGCATTACTCTGCATTTCACAATCTCAACAGTGTTTTCTTTTCTGAACAAGCAACATAACCACCACTCCTTTTTAGATCAGGGACATGGTGCAGAGGGTGGAATGATTAAATATTCCTCCCTAGACCACAACCATAATCCAGATGTGTGAACACATACATGTATGTGCATACATGCACACACAGAGAGCTGCTATTTAGCACACAAGGAGACATTTGTGGCCTTTAAATGACAACGATAAATCAGTTATAATAATAACACCAACACTACTACTACTGCTACTACTACTACAGGTAAAGGTATTCCCCATTGACAAGGTTGTCAAATTATGTCCAACCATAGGGGCCTGTTCTCATCTCCGTTACTAAGCCGAAGAGCCAGCGTTGTCAGAGACTACTCTGTGGTCATGTGGCCAGCATGGTTGCCCAGAACACTGTTTACCTTCCCACTGAGAAGTGGTACCTATTTATCTACTTGCATTTGCATGCTTTCGAACTGCTAAATTGGCAGAAGCTGGGAAGTCTCGAACTGCCAACCTGCTGATCTTGCAATCAACAGTCAGCATTTTAACCACTTGAGCCACTACCACCACCATAATGGCTATGGGCACATATCTATGCATACTGCCCTTCCTCCAATGAAGTCAAAGTGTTGTATATGGCTGTTTTCATTACTTTAGCCCAGGGGTCAGAAACCTTTGTTGCCAGGGGGCTGGGGGGGAGGAATGGTATGGGGGCTGGGTGGTCACGTGCGCTTGCGCACACGCGTGCATGTGCACGACGCCCCACCGTCATGTGCATGCGTACATTGAAAACTTCAATGTTTGCACCACAAATAATGATAACTACTACTACTACTACTACAAACAACTGCTAAACATCTCCCTCCCATACAAAATGTGTGTCTTCCTCATTCACAATTTCTGTAAACAACCAACGAAAACATACATTAGCAAATCTAAGAGTAAAGAAATTAAGGATAATGAATTTAACAATTTTATTAGTAAAAAGCCGGTAAAAGGCTAATTCATATTCCAGCAAACATTATCAATTGGTTACATGCTTACAATCACAGGGGCATCCTAGGAACACCATGCTATAATGACAGAAGGGAACTTACATAGCCCAAGAGGTGAGCTGGTTCAGCAGAGGATTTTATGAAAAAAACAGCTGAGATTTAATTATTCATTGAGACTATGTACCTAATTGACCAAATTGCTCCACTCCTTAAAAGAACAGTACTTGAGTCAAGGCCACAAGGAATTTGAGGTACTTCTATACTATAAAATTTGAAAAAAAAATCCACATTATCTTTCTTAATAAAAAAAATCATATAATTGTGTGTCACACATTAACGCTTAAGTTTAAGATAATATTACTTTCCAGATGAGCCATGTATAGCTTTGCATTACTTGGGGCTGCAGTCCCCATAGCCACTCCATGTACCTGTAAATAAAAATATCAAAACAGAAATGTTTGTGATGGAAGAGGCAAGGATTTTTCAATGTGGGCATTTTCCCACATAATCAATTTTCCTTGTTGGCATTTTTGTTGTGCGCATATATGACAGTGTTTTTTTTTTCCTGTGAACAATTTTCTTGTGAGTTTTTTTTCATGTCTGCTTATTTCATATAACCCCTTACAATGACTTCTAGTTCCAGTACAGTATAAACATAATCTCAGGTCCAGCACACCTTATCCTCAATCATCTGTTGAAGCTGATGCTAAACACAATTGGGTCCTACAGAAGTAAGGAAAGATCAATTATGCCTGTACAGCCCATCTAATTCATCCCTTCCCTCTCCCCTGTCCCCTGAATAATAACACACAGGCACTCAGCTTTCAGTCCTTCCTAGAAACTTAAGACCCCCTAAGGCTTTGGGTGGAGCTGGTAGTCAAACCAACAGCTGTGGTATATGCATAGATTTCCTGCTTCTGGTTCAGTGAAGTGGTGTATCATAGGAAAATGTAGGCATCCTCTCTTCCCACAGCATCCAGAGATGTGGCAATCACATCCCATGCTGTACAATAGGTCTATGCTAGATACAAAGATGGCTAATTTGTAATAGTTAAGTTTATCACACAGCACTTGCAGGAACGAGAACAGAATGGAATGGAACAACATGGAATGGGGCAAGAATATGTGTTACTGCACAAGAGAATGCCTCCGATGCTGCCGGGAGTCCTTAGGCAGCCAATTTTGAAGAACGGTTCAAAATCGTTCTTCAAAATCGGCTGCCATAGCACAGATGGGGAATGGCTTGGGGACTCCTGGCAGCATCGGGAGCATTCTCCTGTGCGGTAACACACGTTCACGCCCTGTTCCAAGCCGTTCTGTTCACATTCCTGCAAGTGCTGTGCAATAAACTTAAGAGTTGTTGTTATGTGCTTTCAAATCAATTCCAACTTGTAGTGGCACTATCCTAGAATTGTCTTGGAAAGATTTAATCAGAGATGGTTTACCTTTGCTTTCCTCTAAGACTGAGCAAGTGCAATCTGCCCATATTCACCCAGGGGTTTCCATGGCTGAACAGGGATTCCAACCCTGGTATTCCAGAAGCCTAGTCCAACACTCAGGTGCATCCATACTGTAGCAATAATGGAGTTTGACACCAGTTTAAGTGCTGAAACACCATCCTATGGAATCTTGGGATTTGTAATATTACAAGGTCTTTAGCCTTCTCTGCCAAAGAATGTTGGGGCTTCACAAATGATTCCATAGGATGGAGCCAAGGTAGTTAAAGTGGTATCAAAGTGCATTATTTCTGCAGTATAGATACACCCTCAAACCTCTACACCACACTGGTTCCTAATTGTATGTACATGAATATATGAAAAAGTAAGATCCAACAAGACAGGAGTAGGAAATGTGCAGCCCTTCAGATGTCATTAGGCTACAGACCCCAAAAGCCCCAGTCAGCATAGTCAATGTTGAGGGATTCTGGGAGCTAGGGGCACACAATTTCTACCCCTTCAAGAGGAAGTCAATTCTTAACAGAGAAATAAAACAGTCTAGTATCAAAGTTTGACATCAGTGCAAACATGGTTTGATTCAGAGTTTCCTTTATGAGTATAATTCTATGTATTTCTTAATTTTATCTGCATCCTGCCTTTCTCCCAAAATTGGGGCTTCAGGTGGCTCACAAAAGAGGGAAGCCTAGATACAAATAAAAACAGGATGTAGTGTAGTGGTTTGAGTGTTGGACTACAACTCTGGAGACCAGGGTTCAATTCCCTGCTCAGCCATGAAACCTACTCGGTGACCTTGGGTAAGTCACACACTCTCAGTCTCAAGGAAAGGCAATGGCAAACCTCCTCTGAACAAATCTGGCCAAGAAAACCCCATGATAGCTTCACCTTAGGGTCTCCATAAGTCAGAAATGACTTGAAGGCACACAACAACAACAGGGAAGGTTATAATGTTAAAACCCTATTAAAATATTGTTGAAGACTGACTTGTAGAAGCCAGCAGTCTGGTTTAGCTCTACAGTAACCATATGTAACAGTGAACCTGCATATGTGGATCCTTATGTAGCCAGAACAACACAATCCATACCCAAAAGAAGAGATATTAGTTTGTGGGAATCCCTAAGGTTTGCAAAAAAGACAAAGAAATATGGGGTAGGGGAACATATTTAAGGATCAAGCAAGCTCAGTGGACATGGAAAGGTAATCCACTGTTAGGGAAGAATGGGGAATGGGATGAACTATCCTAAATGTGACTGGCTGGTACCCTAGTCAGGAGCACTTCACTCTGCAACATTTGGTTCCTGGCTTATTTTTACCTATTTTTCTAAAAAAAGATTATTTTTGCTCACTCCAGGGCTTAGAAGGGAATGTCATCCAAGATTTCTAGTCTTGTATTCTAAGTAGACCTCTGGCAAGGATGGTCCATGGCAACTGTGTATTCTAGATGTAGTTTTTTAAAATAAAAATTGGTACAGCTGTGAAGGCTGTGAGAGGTGGTTGGGTACAAGTTGAGGCTGATCTCTGGCAGCTTTTCTTCATTTGTTTAAAACCTGTTGGAACGTTCTGCATGTTACAGCGTGCCATGGCTCTGTCTTATCTCCTCTCTGCTACTTTTAGGATGTGTAATCTCTATGTATGACAAGAGAGGTGTGGGAGAAGAAAGTCTCTTCAAGGAAGAAGGAAAGTGGTAATTTGCAAGATCTATCTGCATATTTAAATATGAAAGCATATTCTAGCCTCTAGTTCCATTTAAGGAGATCTGATTCCTCCTGATGGTATTCAAAAATCTGATTTGAATTTAAATACTAATTCAAGGCACCAGTTTTTACATGCCTCTTCCAAGTGAAGACTGATTACAGCTTCTTTTTTGTTTTCTTCCACTGAAGAATCCTATAAACAATTTCCAGTGGAAATTTAAAAACAGTAATCTTGATTTCATTTTATTTCTTTTGTTAAGTTTTAAAATTGCTACAGGCACTGATAATGACTTTAATCTATTTGGAGTTTGGTTTTGTTCCATTTCTGACATTCAAAGACAATGAGCCTTTTTGTTGATTTGAATCCAGGGGATAAATACACAGTAGAAATGAGGTTTGCATAAATCAGGGATAAGCAACCTGATGCTTTTCAGATGTTTTGGACTATGAGCTCCATCAGCCTCAGCCAGTATGGCCAATGGCTAGTTATTATGGGAGTTGTAATCCAAAAAATCTGGAGAACACCTATAGTTGCTCACCACTGATCACTGATCTCCAAGAGAGCTTAGAAAAGTAATTTTGGGGGGAACTCTTAACTCTCACATATATAGAAAGCATGCAGGCTGGAGGATTCTAGGAACTGGAATAAAAAAAATACTTTTGTCAAATTCTGCTTCCCGGTCATAGTTTCTTACCAATTAATATGAGCACCAAACCCAAGCAAAGCTCTGATTGCTTGTTGAGAATGAAGTCACATCTGGAAGTATTTCCTTCGCTTCCAGTGCTTAACTTAGAAAGCCTCTGGAGAGAAACTCACTGGAGGGATTAAACTGGTAAATCTGTTTCTCTACCCTTCCTAGATTTACTGATGGGGGGGAGGAATGGATAGGAGCCAATGAGTTTTCCCCAGAAAGTATTCACATTCTCTGATATATTGCACAGACATAATTCACATTCTGCCCACCTGCTTCTACTCCAATGTAAGAGTGTATCCACACTACACACTTAGAGAAGTTTGATACCACAATTCCCATGATTCCATCCTCCAGAATCCTTGGATTGGTGGTTTGGTGAATTAGAATTTTCTGCTGGAGAGATTTGAGTGCTGTAGTTCACAAGAGTTCACTCCAGATTGCCAAAAGCCCCAGTAATTGTTGGGCTGTGCAGTTTATCCTCATAACAGTTGTTCTTGCCCCTGCATCCAGTCAGGCTCATTCATTGCTGGGAATTGTAATAAATTGTAATTTTATCCCCCTTCTTTTTTTCCCACCCTTTAGGCATTGTGTAAGAAGGATTGTATTGAGGGAAAGTAGGTCTCCATAGTGACATGCACACCCAATTCACAACTTCATCAGTACAGGAAGAACTGAAACAGTAGAGACATGTCCTAACCACTTCTTGTATTGGAAAGTCCCAGGAGGGGA